CTAATCGAGCTCGAACACATCAAAGCGCTGTTTAGCGCTCGCGACTCAGTTTTTTCTTTCTAAGATTGTTGTTCTTTTAGTTATTTTACTGGTTTTATGCTTCGACGCTGTTTTACCGCCTTCTTTCTTCTTTTACTTTCATGTTTTCTCACAGGGCTTCGTTTTTCTCCTCTCAGGTCTCTCGTTGTTGCTCTCATTGCTGTAACGGCGCGAAATGTTTCCGCCGCCGCGCGCTGGACTCGCGTTTGCTCGCGCGCACATTTGCACGGATGCGCGAGCTCCAAATACAGCGATTCCCACGAACCCGCGCGGCTCGACGGAGTCCGAGGGTCAAGAAGAAAAAGACCCCATTATTCCCCTCACACACAGAGCTCAGTGTGTCCGGCTGAGAGCGCGAGACACACACACACACAAAACATTATACACACACACACACCTACATACACACACACACACACAAAACATTATACACACACACACACCTACATACACACACACACACAAAACATTATACACATACACACACACACACCTACATACACACAAAACATTATACACACACACACCTACATACACATAAAACATTATATACACACACACACACAAAACATTATACACACACACACCTAAACACACACAAAGCATTATACACATACACACACACACACCTACACACACACAAAACATTATACACATACACACACACACACCTACATACACATAAAACATTATACACACACATACACACACACACACACACCTACATACACACAAAACATTATACACATACACACACACATACACTTACACACACATACACACACAAAAAACATTAGACACACACACACACACACATACACTTACACACACACACAAAAAAAAAAACATTATACACACACACATACATACACACACACAAAACATTATACACACACACACACCTACATACACAAAACATTATACATACACACACACACACACATATACACAAAACATTATACACACACACACACACAAAACATTATACACACACACATATACACAAAACATTATACACACACGCACACACACAAAACATTATACACACACACACACAAAACATTATACACACACATACACACACAAAACATTATACACACACACACACAAAACATTATACATACACACACAAAACATTATACACACACACACAAAACATTATACACACACACACACACACAAAACATTATATACACACACACACACAAAACATTATATACACACACACACAAAACATTATACACACTACACACACAAAACATTATACACACACACACAAAACATTATACACACACACACACACAAAACATTATACACACACACACACAAAACATTATACACACACACACACAAAACATTATACACACACACACACAAAACATTATACACACACACACACAAAACATTATATACACACACACACACAAAACATTATACACACACACACACAAAACATTATACACACACACACACAAAACATTATATACACACACACACACACAAAACATTATACACACACACACACAAAACATTATACACACACACACAAAACATTATACACACACACACAAAACATTATACACACACACAAAACATTATACACACACACACACACAAAACATTATACACACACACACACACAAAACATTATATACACACACACACAAAACATTATACACACACACACACAAAACATTATACACACACACATAAGACATTATACACACACACACACAAAACATTATACACACACATATAAGACATTATACACACACACACACGCACTTGTACACTCACATAAAACATTATACACACACACACACACACAAAGACTTAAAGATGGTTCTCCGAGGGTTCTTTAGTGAAGACAGTGGTTCTGTTCTATATAGAGCCATTTCATGCTTTGCATGGTGAATTGGTTCCTGAGACTGATGGACAACGTGTTGTAGATGGTTCTATCCGGCACCAACAATGGTTTTTCTATTGCTACAATGTCAAGCTTGCAACAACAACAGAACCGTTTTTGGTGATATATAGAACCATTTTTAAAAAAAGGTTCTATATAGCACTAAATATATAGGTTCTATATAGCACCAAAAAGGATCCTTCTATTGTTACAAGCTTACAATAGAAGAACCCTTTTTGGTGCTCCATAGAACCATTTCCAAAAGGGTTCTATATAGAACCATATACAACACATTCTCAGCATTTCAGCATGAAAAGCTTCTGTACAGAACTAGTGGTTCTAAGTAGAACCATTCCCTTTACTGATCACAGCACAACAATAGAAGACCCCTTTTCGTGCTATATAGAACCACTTCCAGAAAGGTTCTCTATAGAACTCATGCTTCTAAACTGAACCATTGCCTTTACTCAAGAACCCCTGAGGAACCGTCTTTTTAAAGAGTGTGTTTAACACTTCAGTGTTCACAGCTTTCCATTGTTTCTGTCACAGGCAGTCCACATGAGAACCGAGTGTTAGAAAAGAGAACGTTTATTGGGGTCTTTCTTCATCATGAAGCTAAACATGCAAATGTAAAGCCATTTGTTTTGTTTATAAATACATTATAGAAAAATAAACACATTTCCACACAGTAAACACTTTCAGACACGAGGACACGTTCTACACAACACCAAGCTTCAGAACACCAGCTGGAGAACGGAGTGGTTACCGAGGGCGGCAGGGCCGGGATCCGGACCAAACGGAGGAATGTGATGAAGATCTCATCCAGCTGCTCAGAGTGAGGAGGGTCTGAGAGTGAAGGTTCTAGCACATGCTGTATGTTCATTCCCACAGGCTGATTTTGCTGTGTTCACTGAGACAAACTGGATCATTACTGAGTTTTACAGCTTGGTTCTAAGTCTAGTACCCTTCACTGCGCTCCAGCTGCACGCTTCTGTTCCAGTCAGAACGTTTAGAACGCACTTAGAGTTCTGATCAATAACTACGCTTTCAGCAAAAAGGGTTCTTTGAAGATTTTAAATGGCTCCATATCTTATCAAGAAGGTTCCATGACTTGTAACAATAGTAGAACCCTTTTCGGTGCTACATAGAATCATTTAAATGGGTTTATATATTAAAAAAATGTTCTATGACTTGTGACAATAGTGGAACACTTTTTGGTGCTATATAGAACCACTTTAAAAGGCTTCTTTAAAGAACCCTATACAACTGGTTTTCATCATTGTGAAGAACCATTGCAAAGAACCATTAAAGCATCTTCAAATGGTTCTTTGAGTGTTCATGGTTCTGTATAGAATCATTGCACTTAATAAAGAACCCTTGAAGAACCTTTTTTTAGGAGTGTAGAGAACACTTATGCTCTGACTGGAATGCCCACTGGCTGTCAACATTCTGTGCTCTAGCAAAGTGTTCTAGAGTTCTAGACAGGGTACAAGCCTTCTTTTTTGTTAATTCTATTTTGAACATGAACTTTCTGTAAAGTGGAGTGTTTAGGATCGTATGGGAATTATAAGAATGCTCTCTTTGCAAGAAAGGGTTCTAGATAGTACCAAAAAAGTCCTGTGACTTGGAACACTGGTGACATCTTTTTTGTTGCTATATAAAACCATACAAACATTGCTTTTGCTAAAGAACCATTTTAAATTGTTCTGTACAGAAACATAAAGGGTTCTACTATTGTTGCAAGTTATAGAACCCTTTTGTTAATATATAGAGCTATTTAAATGGTTCTATGTAGAACCAGAAAGGGTTCTATTATTGTTACAAGTCCTGCAACCTTTTTGATTATATAGACCCCATTCAAAATGGTTCTATAAAGAAACAAAAAGTGTTCTGCTGTTACAAGTCATAGAACCGTTTTGTTGATATATAGACCCATTTGAAATAGTTCTTCAATGGTTCTTCAAAAAAACATGATAATAATAAAAATAATAATAATGGTCCTTCCAAAAAGGGTTCTATTACTTGTAACAATATTGGAACCCTTTTTGCTGCTACATGGAACCGTTTAAATGTTCTTTAAAGTTTTTTCAATATTAGAGAAGAGCCGTTTAACCATGCAAAGAACCCTTAAACATCCCAAAGGTTCTTTGAGTGTTCATAGTTGTATATATAAACATGGCTTTTACTAAAGAACCATTGAAGAACCATTTTAAATGAATGTATGTAGTATCAAAATGGGTTCCACGGTTGTGAGAAGTCAGAACCTTTTTGGTCCTACACAGACCATTTTAAAATGGTTATGTGACTTGGTCATGTTATGTGTTTTAGGTGGTGCTACACAGAACCAATTAAAAAGGTTCTTCAACAGTTCTTTAGTAAAAGCAATGTTCTTTAAAGATTACCCATCATAGTGAAGAACAATTTAGCCACGCAAAGAACCCTTTATGCATTGAAACGGTGTGAAGAAACTTGAAGAACAGTTTTGAGTGTGGTATCAAACTGCATGGGTGGAGTTATAAGGGGTCTAGATGTAAAGATGTTAGCCCCCCAGTGTTCTAGATGAAGTTCTGTATTTCAGACATGAAGGTCCCATTCAGAACCCTCGAATTTTCACTACGAATGTTCTATTTAGACAATGAATGCTCTGTTTATAATTCAGAAGCGCAGAAGAACAATGCAGAACGTTCTTTACAGCAGAATAAATGTTCCAGATATTCCAGTTAAAAAACTGTCATTTCAGACACGTTCAAAACGTTCCTGTTTAGAACTGGAACACGAGCGTTCTGTCTATGTTAGAATGTTCTATGTTCAGAGCAGCGGCGCTGAGCCTGAGTGAGGGTCAATGGGGGACAGAGGGCTGACTGACCGTCTCTCTCTCTCTGATTCTGAGTGAGGGTCAATGGGGGACAGAGAGCTGACTGACCCTCTCTCTCTCTCTCTCTCTCTCTCTCTCTCTCGGAGCCTGAGTAAGGATCAGTGGGGGAGAGAGGGAGCTGAGTGACCGTCTCTCTCTCTCTCTGTCTCTCTCTGAGCCTGAGTGAGGGTCAGTGGGGGACAGAGGGCTGACTGACCATCTCTTTCTCTCTGAGTCTGAGTGAGGGTCAGTGGGGGACAGTGGGCTGGCTGACCCTTTCTCTCTCTCGCTGAGTCTGAGTGAGGGTCAGTGGGGGACAGCGGGCAGACTGACCCTTTCTCTCTCTCTCTCTCTGAGTCTGAGTGAGGGTCAGTGGGGGACAGAGGGCTGACTGACCGTCTCTCTCTTTCTCTCTGAGCCTGAGTGAGGGTCAGTGGGGGAGAGAGAGCTGACTGACTGTCTCTCTCTCTCTCTCTGAGTCTGAGTGAGGGTCAGTGGGGGACAGTGGGCTGACTGACCCTTTCTCTCTCTCTCTGAGTCTGAGTGAGGGTCAGTGGGGGACAGAGGGCTGACTGACCGTCTCTCTCTTTCTCTCTGAGCCTGAGTGAGGGTCAGTGGGGGACAGAGGGCTGACTGAGGGGCAGGTCATGCAGTTCGGGGTGGGTTTGTGTCTCAGTGCTGGGGGCTGCTGTCAGTGTGCGGGCGCTCGTCCTCCGAGGAGCACTCAGAGGAGTTGTACAGGTACGAGTCTCCCTCCTCCGCCTCACTGTCTCTAAAGTCCCGGATTCTGTTACTTTTCGTTGCCTCCGCTTTCTGAAACTCCCTCTCCGCCCCTCCTGCTGCTCCTCCTGCTCCTCCGCTGCTGCTCTCATCTGCTGTTTTAGAGCCCTTCTGCTTCTCCTCCTGCGCGGCCTGCTCTTTAGCTTTCTTACTGCGCTTCCACTTCATGCGTCTGTTCTGGAACCAGATTTTTACCTGAAAAGGAAGGACAAACATTTGAGCCTTTATTGAGAACTGCCTGGACCAAACACTAAAAATACCCACTTAAAAGTGAGACTGGACGATTGGATGGTAAGTAAACTGCCTGCTGCAGTATCTACAAAGCATGTGTACATAAACAATACATAATAGTTTTAATCAACAGACAATAGTAGTTATGGTTTTGTGTAAATTTTAATCAGATTAGCTTTGTTGTTACAAAGAAACATTTTTTTTAAACTCTATGAATTTACAAAACCATTTCCAAAAAAAGTTTGATAAAAACAGAATGCAATGTTATGCAAATCATTAAAACCCTATATTTAATTGAAAAAAGTACAAAGACAGCAATGTTGAAACTGAAAAATGTTATTGTTTTTAGAAAAATATACGCCCATTGAGTTTGATGCCAGCAGCATGCTTAAAAAAATTTGGGACAGGATCAAAAACACCTGTTGGTTAATTGACAACAGATCAGTAACATGATTAGGCATAAAAGAGCATCCCAGAGAGGCGGAGTCTTTCAGAAGTATAGAGGGAGGAATTCACCACTCTGTGAAAGACTAAACAGACAATTAAATTAAATTAAAAAAAAATCTTTCTCAACATAAAATAGTAAAGGACTTCATGATTTCATCTACAGTACATAATATCATTAAAAGATTCAGAGAATCTGGAGAAATCTCTGTATGTAAGGCCAAAAACCAGTTTTTGCTGGTCGTGATCTTTGGGCCCTCAGGCAGCACTGCATTAAAAACAGACATGATTCTGTAGTGGAAATCACTGCATGGACTTAGAAACACTTCTGAAAACCACTGTCTGTGAAAACAGTTCATCACTGCATCCAGAAATGCAAGTTTAAAAAAATCTACTATGCAAACAAGAAACCATACATAAACAGGATGCAGAAACACTGCCACCTTCTCTGGGCCTGAGCTAATTTAAAATGGACTGAGGTGAGTGGAAAAGTGTCCTGTGGTCTGATGAATCAAAATAGGAAATTCTTTTCGGAAATCATGGATACCGGGCTAAAGAGGAGAAGAACCCATCCAGTTTGTTGTCAGCCAGCATCAGTGATGGTATGGGATGCATTAAGGCACTTGGCATGGGTGATGTGCACATCTGTAAAGGCCCCATTGATGCCGAGCGATATATCCAGGTTTTAGCAACATATGCTGCCATCCAGATGACGTCTTTTTCAGGAAAGGCCTTCATTATTTCAGGAACACAATGTCAAACCATATTCTGCGTGTTTCATAGCAGCATGGCTACAAAGTACAAGAGTCCAGGTGCTAAACTGACCTGCCTGCAGTCCAGATCTGTCACCCATTAAAACATTTGGTGCATTATGAAATGAAAAATACGACAAATATGCCCCCGAACTGTTGAGCAGCTGAAATACTTTATCAAGCAAGAACGGGAAAACATTTCACTATAAAAACTACAGCAGTGTCTCAGTGGTAAAGCCCAGTGGTAAACATGCCCCCGTCCCAACTTTTTTGGAACGTGTTGTTGGCATCAAATTCAAATATATTTTTCAAAAAACTAAAAAAAATGTCTCAGTTTCAACATTTGATATGTTGTCTTTGTACTATTGCAATTAAATATTGGGTTTACAGTGATTTGCACATCATTGCATTCTACTTTTATTTACATTTTGCACAGCGTCCCAACTTTTTTGGAAATGGGGTTGGAATATATGTGGTGACATGACATTAAATAGCGTCTCATATTTATGTGCACTTTGAGCAACACTGGAAATTTTTCATTTTGTTTTGAAAATAAACAAAAGTAGTCTTATTAATGTATCAATTCTGTTCACTACATATTCACATGTACCACTGGATACATTTTGTGTAGATTTTGAAGTTTAAAGTTTAAAATTTGATTTTTGTGTAAATTTGTTCTTTTTTTGTTACATGCTAAACCAGGTCATAGAAGGGTGAACACTAAGACAAATCCCGTTAGCTGATTATAATATAAAATTGTGGGTACCGAGGATGTTTATTTATTTCTTAGTTATTAATATATATTTGTGGGTTATGCGTTCATCTAATGTGTACATTTTCAGTGGACTGTCCTGAGTACTTGGGCCACATCCTGCCTTGTGGTCTGAAGCCCCTGGCAGTCAGAGGAACACTGTCCCTGCTGGACCAGTCAGTGATGCCTCCGTGTGTGTGTATGTGTGTGTGTGTGTGTGTGAGTGTGTGTGTGTGTGAGTACCTGTGTCTCAGTAAGCATGAGCGCTGTGGCCACCTCGAAGCGTTTGGGGCGAGACAGGTACTTGTTGAGTTTAAACTGATGCTCGAGCTCCAGCAGCTGCTGACTGGTGAAGGCTGTTCGAGGCCGCCGACATTTTCCCAACAGATTAGACTGAGGCTGAGCTAAAACACACAAACATACACACAGTAGATTAGACTGAGGCTGAGCTAAAACACACAAACATACACACAGTAGATTAGACTGAGGCTGAGCTAAAACACACAAACATACACACACACAGTAGATTAGACTGAGGCTGAGCTAAAACACACAAACATACACACACACAGTAGATTAGACTGAGACTGAGCTAAAACACACAAACATACACACACAGTAGATTAGACTGAGACTGAGCTATAACACACAAACACACACAGTAGATTAGACTGAGACTGAGCTATAATATACAAATACATAGCAGATTAGACTGAGACTGAGCTGCAACACATAGCAGGTTAGACTGAGACTGAGCTATAACACAGCAGATTAGACTGAGACTGAGCTATAACACAGCAGATTAGACTGAGACTGAGCTGCAACACACAGCAGGTTAGACCGAGACTGAGTTGTAACCCAGCAGATTAGACTGAGACTGAGCTATAACACAGCAGATTAGACTGAGACTGAGCTATAACACAGCAGATTAGACTGAGACTGAGCTATAACACAACAGATTAGACCGAGACTGAGCTGCAACACACAGCAGGTTGGACTGAGACTGAGCTATAACACACAGCAGATTAGACTGAGACTGAGCTATAACACACACACAGTAGATTAGACTGAGGCTGAGCTAAAACACAAACACACACACAGTAGATTAGACTGAGACTGAGCTATAACACACAAACACACACAGTAGATTAGACTGAGACTGAGCTATAACACACAAACACACACAGCAGATTAGACTGAGACTGAGTTATAATATACAAATACACAGCAGATTAGACTGAGACTGAGCTATAATATACAAATACACAGCAGATTAGACTGAGACTGAGCTATAATATACAAATACACGGCAGATTAGACTGAGACTGAGCTGTAACACAGCAGATTAGACTGAGACTGAGCTGTAACACAGCAGATTAGACTGAGACTGAGCTGTAACACAGCAGATTAGACTGAGACTGAGCTATAACACACAGCAGGGAAATGCAATTGTTCTTTTTAGAAGCATAAGTTCTGTATGGAACCATTTGCATGCTTAAATGGTTCTTTTCAGGGTGAAATCGTTCTTTAGATTGATGGAGAATATGTTGTACATGGTTCTATATAGCACCATAAAAGGTTCTTCTATTGTTATGATGTTATTATTAGTAAAGGCAATGGTTCTATTTAGAACCACTAGTTATGTATAGAACCTTTTGCATGCTTAAATGGCTCTTTTTATAGTAAAATTGTTCTTCAGATTGATAGAGAATATGTTATATATGGGGTTCTATACAGCACCAAAAATCGTTCTGCTATTGTTAAAAGCTTGATATCATAACAATGTCAAGCTTCTAACATCATAATAGAACCCTTTTTAGTTCTATATAGCACCATTTTCAGAAAAGGGACCATATACAATGCATCCCTCATCAATCTAAAGAACCATTTCACTATACAGAGAACCCTTTAATCATGAAAAAAGTTCTTTCAGTGTTCATGGCTCAATAAAGAACCACTGTCGTTATTAAAGAACCCTTAAAGAACCATCTTTTTTAAGAGTGTAGAACAGTGGTCAGTGAGATCTGCAGTAGCTGAGCGTCTCTGGCCGCCACATGCTGAGAGCCTCTAAACCTGCAGCAGAGAAACCTCTCTCTGTGTGTGTGTGTGTGTGTGTGGGTGTGTGTGTGTGTGTGGAACAGAGAGACAGTGTGTTACAGAGCAAACACACCCCCTTCACACACTCCCTCCACTTTCTCTCTCCATTATCCCTCCATTTAAACTGCTCTCTGAAAAACAGACAGACTCTCCTCTCCAAACCTCAGTGAAGACCTGAGTCCCTAAACTCCTCCTCCATCTGCCCTTTCTACTCCAGCTCTTCCTCTCTTCTTCATCCTCTCTCTCTCTCTCTCTCTCTGATCTCTCTCTCTCTCTCTCTCTCTGATCTCTCTCTGATATCTCTCTCTCTCTCTCTCTCTCTCTCTCTCTCTCTCTCTCTCTCTAATCTGACCTTTTAACTGGACTGAGTGTTCAGGCTGATGAAGTCTTGCTGGTTTGGTCTTCATCTCTGATTTAAACTTATTATTTTTTTTATTTTCCTGCTAATTTTAGAGCACGGTTTCTATTGATCTGCTGAATAGAGCATATTGGAAAATAATAAAACATCAAATATAAAATGTGCCATAACTTTTGCACAGGCCATTTCCCCCTAATATGTTAAACTCGGTAAATAAACAGTAGTTGTGTATTACAGTGTGCAGCGGTGTGTCTCTGTAGAGGGCGTGTCCACTAATTTACACTCCGAAATAAGTACATTTAAATCAGTAAAGGAAGGGGATTTGACCAGGGGTGCTCAGACTTTTGCACGCGATGCTGTTTTTGCATGTGATCATGCTGCAAAAATCTGAAAATTAATTAGATTTCTTAGCCAGATGTTAATTTAGTAGCTTTATATATATATATATATATATACATATGTATATATATATATATATATATATATATATATATACATATATATATATATATATATATATATATAATACATATGTATATATACACAGCTGGCTAGTTTACAAGAAACGTGCTGATCGCGTGCTGATAAATAGATAAATGCACAATTACTGTTTAACGGGGAGAAAAAGATAAAAGTTTAGATTTTTGTATTTTATGTTTGTTTTTTTCTCCAGTGTGTCAAACTAAAACCAAACCATTTCATTTCTATTCATTTTTGTAGAATTTTTGCACTAAAATTTTTACAAATTGCCCACACTTCTGCATACGACTGAATATATATATATATATATATATATATATATATATATATATATATTTTCAGTCGTATGCAAAAGTGTGGGCAATTTGGAAAATTTTTTAGTAAATTTAAAAAATCAAACATAAAATTCAAAAATCTAAACTTTTATTATTATTTTTCCTCTGACGTGTTAAACTCGTGATCACGCTGTGTTGTTTTAAAAATATAATAAAATTATATATATATAATGGGTATAACCGACAAATTTAGTGTACAACTTCTATTTTTTCGAGACATAAGAATGGATATGAATAAAGCGGTTTGGTTTAGTTTGCCACACTGGGGGAAAATAAAACAGGAAATATAAATTTTTCTCCGGTGTGTAAATTCAGTGAATAATCAGTGATTGTGTGTTACAGTGTGCAGCGGCGTGTCTCTGTAGAGGAAGTGTTTCACTTATTCACACTCAGAAAATCAACAACACCACGGACTATGACTGAGGGTGCGCAAACTTCTGCATGCGGCGGTTAGTGAATCTCCGCGGTTGTGTTTTATATGAATTGAATCCGGTTATACAGATTTCTGAGCTCTGTCTCTCAGCTCGGCCTGATCGGGTTAGTCCGTGTCTGTCTCTTTACTGCAGAGCTCAAACACGCACACACACACACGCATATATACACACACACACACACTCACACACACACACACGCCGTTCTACAGTCCTGTGTATCGATATTGGTGACAGTTATGATTTTATTGGGTTTGAACCGAATAAATAAGCAGCTGAGGATCAACGCGGTTCAGTTCAGTTAAAGCCGGATCACCGGAAGGAACATCATTAAAGAAAATTAACCAAGACAGCGGCTTTGAAGGCGTTTTGGGATGAAAAATTAAAATATTACAATTTACAAAATGTAAAATATTTAATCATACACTCTACTGTACACGCACCTTAAACATTACAGATTAGATGAACATGTTTAAAAACTCTCTAAAAAACCCAAATCTCTAAAACTGTACCTTCCACAGATTCAATAATAACCATTCCTGACCAGCTCACACAATAAAAAAGAGGCAAATATTAAATATTAAATATTATAGTAATAACAAACTCTCAGTGTGGAATATAAGTGTTAATATTAAATATTAAATCAATTACTAATAAACTCAGTGTGGAATATAACTGTAAATATTACATTTTAAAGTAATTAATAATAAACTCTCAGTGTGGAATATAAGTGTTAATATTAAATATTAAATCAATTACTAATAAACTCAGTGTGGTATATAACTGTAAGTATTAAATATTTAATTACTAATAAACTCAGTGTGGTATATAACTGTAGATATTAAACAATGAATTACTAATAAACCCAGTGTGAAGTATAACAATTATATCAGTGTGGAATATAAATGTAAATATTAAATATTTAATTACTAATAAACTCAGTGTGGTATATAACTGTAAATATCAAATTCATAAATTAATTATTTCACGGAATTAATACATTCATAAATAAGCTTACAGTGCGGAGTATAACTGTAAATAGTAAACATTAAATTAATTAATAATAAACTCACAGTGAGGAGTATAACTGTAAATACTAAATCAATAACATGCATTAAATTGTTTAATAATAAACTCAGTGTGGAGCAAATTTTAAATTAAATAATAATAACTATATAGTGAAGAATATAACTGTAAATATTAAATATTATATTGATTTTAAAACTCACAATGCGGCGTATGAATATACATATTAAATTTCAACATTAATTAATAATTAACTTAAAAAATAATTAAAATAATAATAAAGGTATAACTGTAAATATTAAATAATTATAATAATAATAAACTCACTGCAGATTAGAACTATAATATTAAATTGATTAATAATAAACTGAAAATAAAAATGAAGCAATATAAACTGTTAATATCAAATTAAGTTTGTTATTGATTAATTTATTAATATCAGTTCATTATTAAATTAGTTAGTAATAGATTTTTAATAACAATTAATCGATATTAAATTGGTGATAATGATTAATCAGCAATATATTGACCGCGCAAAAAAACTAATATTCAATTATTTTATAATAAAACGTGACTTTAAACTAATCAATAACAAACTGTTACTCTTAGATTAATCAATAATAAACTGTTAATATTAAACTAATCGATAATGAACTGATGATATCAGATTAATCGATGATGTACTCACAGTGCAGCTCCGCCAGTTTGATGCTCGCGCTGTTGATGCGCAGCCACTGCTCCAGCTGCAGGGAGCTCGCGCTCAGCTTCAGCGCCTCCGCGGGGTACGCGTGCGGGTAGGATAGCGCCGCGTGCTGCCCCACCGCCCCCATCTGACCCATCTGCCCCAGCGCGGGGTAACCGAAGCCGGCGTGCCCGAAGACGCTCCCACCCGCCCCGCCGCCGTGCACGCGCACCCCGGCCAGGCCCGCCAGCGCCGGAGGCGGCGCGTCCAGGAAGGCGGATGGGTGCGCGCGAACGGGCGGCGGCGGGGACGGCGGGTCAGTTCCGCCGCGCGGCGCGAGCAGCGCATCGATACGGAAACTTTTAGACTTCTCCATCAGAGAGAGACACACAGAGTGTGTGTGTGTGTGTGAGGTGTGTGAGAGAGTGTGTGAGCAGCGCGCGCTCCGCTCTGTCCTTCAGCGCCGCTTGCGCTCAGGTTTGTGTCCCAGCCGCGCGGCCGCTGATTGGTGGAGATCCGCACGGGGAGGTGTGTGTGTGTGTGTGTGTTTGTGTGTGTGTGTGTGTGTGTGTGTGTGTGTGTGTGACGGGGGCAGGTGAGTGTTTTGCCCTCCGCGTGAAGGTGGGTCACTCCCACCGGGTGAGCAGAGAACAGTGAGGCCAGATCGCATTTACATACAGTGTAATACAGTCTTTATTATAGTCTACTACAGTCTGCATTACAGTCTCATACAGTCTGTATTGCAGACTTATTCAATCTTTATCACAGTCTAATTCAGTCTGTATTATTGTCTAATACAGTCTGTATTACAGTCTAATTCAATCTATATTACCGTCTAATACAGTCCGTATTATAGTCTAATTCACTCTGTATTACAGTCTAATACAGTCTGTATTACGTTCTAATTAAGTCTTTATTACAGTCTAATTCAATCTGTATTACAGTCCAATACGGTCTGTATTACATCTAATGCAGTTCGTATTACAGTTTAATTCAGTGTGTAATACAATCAAATACAGTCTGTATTACAGTGTATCACAGCTTAATACAGTTTATGGTTTAATATATTTAAATTTTATACGGTTGAATACAATCTAATACAGTCTAATACAGTCTGTGTTACAGTTTCATATAGTGTAGTACAGTTTAATGTAGTCTAATGTGGTTTAAAACGGTTTAATACGATTGAATATAATCTAATACAGTTTAAAATAGGCTGAATTTTTACAGTTTGCTACAGCTTAATACGGTTTAATGTAGTCTAATGTGTTTTACGGTTTAATACAGTTTAATAAAGTTTAATACGGTTTAATACGGTTTGGTGTCTGTTAAATATGGTTTATTATGGTTTAATACAGTTTAATGTAGTCTAATGTGTTTTTATGGTTTAATACGGTTTAATAAGGTTTAATAAGGTTTAATACGGTTTGTGTCTGTTAAATATGGTTTATTATGGTTTAATACAGTTTAATAAGGTTTAATACGGTTTAATACGGTTTGTGTCTGTTAAATATGGTTTATTATGGTTTAATACAGTTTAATGTAGTCTAATATGTTTTTTATGGTTTAATACAGTTTAATGTAGTCTAATATGTTTTTTATGGTTTACTACAGTTTAATAAGGTTTAATACGGTTTAATACGGTTTGTGTCTGTTAAATATGGTTTATTATGGTTTAATACAGTTTAATAAGGTTTAATACGGTTTATGTCTGTTAAATATGGTTTGTTACGGTTTAATACAGGTTAATATGGTTTAATACGGTTTAATACTGTTTATGTGAACGTGTGTGTGTGTGGTGTGTGTGTGTGGTGTGTGTGTGTGATGGGTGTGTTGTTCTGTGCTGGGCTGTAGGTTTGGTCGGGTGGGTTTGGGGTCTGTCATGAGTGCGGACTGTGTGGTCAGAGGTGGCCTGTCCGCTGTTACGGCCGCTCGCGCGCTGAGAGGCGGCGGATCTCCTGCTGCCTGACCAATAAAGAGCCTTTAGCTTGGCAGCGCTACGGTTCCCGCGTCTTCTTCACTGACTACTCAGTGTAATGCTTTATTATAGAAGCTATTAACTACGTAATGTGTCATTTCTATAATAATTAATGTATTATCTACATTTTTATAGAAAATAATGAATTTATTTTAGATGAATTTAGTTGTTAGGAATGAATTTAGTAAATAAATAAATAAATAAATAAATAAATAAATAAATAAAGTGAGCAGAGAAGTTGCTGATGTTCTCTGAGCAATGGACTGACCACCCCAGGGTCCAGACCTCAACATCACTGAATGTGTTTGATTACTTCAGAAAATCATCAACCAAATTCCGAGACTGAACTTTGGAGGTGTGTCTGCAGATTTACCTGAGAAACTGGAAGTGAGTCTCCTGAAAAGAATGGAACCTGGAAAAAAGGTAAAGAGCGACTCACTCAGCGCTTAAGTTGAGGCTTCTGTGTGGTTCTCTGTTGTGTTCTCTGTTTTACTGAGACGCTGTAAAACAAATAACCTCAATTTCAAGCCCGTTTTGACTGGAAAAAAGATGGTTCTTCACGGGTCCTTTAGTAAAGAAAACTGTGCTATATAGAACCATGAACACTCAGAGAACCATTGGCATGCTTTAATGGTTCTTTGCAGGGTGAAATCGTTCTTCAGATTGGTGGAGAACGTGTTGTATTTGGTTATATAATGTCATATAATAATTTTATATTGTGTTATATTACATTAGATGGTTTTATATGGAACCTTTTTGAAAGGGGATCTGCTATTTTAACAATGCCAAGCTTGTAACAATAACAGAACCCTTTTTGGTGCTATATGGAACCATATATAGCACATCCTCCTTAAATCTCAAGAACCGCTTCACCATGGAAAGAACCCTTAAATCATGCAAATGGTTCTTTGAGTGTTCATAGTTCTATACAGAACCATTGCGCTTACTAAAGAACCCTTGGTTCTATAAGCTCCAAATGGATCTATAAAGCACCAAAAGGGTTCTTCAACTGTTACAAGCTTGGCACCATAGCAATAGCAGATCCCTTTTCAAAAAGATTCCATATAAAACCACATAATATAATAGTATAATATAATATAATATAATATAATATAATATAATATAATATATAATCAAACTCAACACATTCTCCATCCATCTAAAGAACCATTTCATCATGCAAAGAACCATTATATCATGCAAAGTGTTCTTTGAGTCTTCTTGGTTCTATATAGAACCACTGAGCTTACTCAAGATCCCTTGGTTCTATAAGCTTCACATGGTTTTATGAAGCACCAAAAAGGGTTCTTCTTCTCTTATAAGCTTGACAAAGGGATCCTTGAATGTTCATGGTTCTATTTAGAGCCATTTTATTTACTAAAGAACCCTTGAAGAACCCTCACTTTAAGTACGCAGGTCCAGTACATTCAGTCAGAGAACATAATCTCCTGTAACAGCACCTCACTGTCCCAGTGTAGCTTTGAATTCAGTGTTTATTTATTCTCTTTTAAATCTGATGTTTATAAACGTGTTTTATTATTTAATCCTCACACTGATTACCATCTGCTACAGAATAGACTTTAAGGTGCTATAACTGCTCTATATATGGTTTATTGTTGCAGGAGCAGCATATTATATATATATATAATATATATATATATATATATATATATATATATATATATATATATATATGTGTGTGTTGCAGGGAGCAGAACTCTCAGATCATTAGATATATATGCTGTAAAATGGTTCGTCAGTTCAACCTAACGAAAAGCTACGTCATGGTAACAAGCAATTGTAGGAGCCCTGCTGGTGACATCCCATATAAATAAAAATAATGCGTGGCCACGCCGTATTAACGCGTAGGAATGAGATCATTAAGTCACTAAGTGTTTGGGAACGAGATCATGTCTTATAAAGCCGTGTTCAAGGCGTATTTATCTCATTCCCACGCCTTACTAAGTTGTGGCTACGCATGAGGATCTCATTCTCATGTTTTACTAAGTCGTGGACACAACTTAATTATCTCGCCCCCACGCCTTTGTTAAATCGTGGCCGCGCATTTTTTTTATTTACACGGGATGCCATCAGCAGGGCTCCGTACGGTTGAACCAGGTTTATTCAACTCAAATATTGTTGATCAATTCGGATTGAATAAAATCGATTCAATTTCTTGTTACCCACATAAAGTATTTTGAGGTTGAGCCATTTTACTGTGCTGCTCTTAAATGGGCCCAGTGGACAGAAGAGCCCCGACACTGGACACTGTAAATCCAGGTTTAAAACGTTTCTATATGAGCAGCTTTCAACTCATTTTAAACACGGTTAGCTCTACTGCACTTTGGGCCACTTTATAATCTGAATTTAGTTTCAAATCCATTTTTAATTGAATGATTTGAATTAAAAGTGGTTTTAATGAAAGATTTATTTCTTCTCTTTTAAGTCTGATGTTTATAATCGTGTTTTAATTGTTGTTAAATCTTAAATCCCCACACTTGCTGCCAGTCTGTTACAGAGCTGACTTTAAGGTGCTGATATATGTCGATATAAAATATCGCTGCTGTGAACAAAACCTCGGATCTCCGTTTCTTCGTTCATCTCTTCGTTTTTCAGTTCTTTGCATATTTTGAAAGTGCCTGTTGTTCTTTACATTGTATGTAAATTTCATGATGAATGGACCAACAGAAACGGCCCAAAATTACTTGGAAAAAAGTCTGGTTCCATTGACTTACATTAAAAGTAAAGTAGGTTTTTTCCTTCTCCTGTAAAGTTCTAATTTTTGGAGACACGAGGTTTTGTTCCGACAGCAGCGATAATTATATTATATTATATTATATTATATTACATTATATTATATTATATTATAGAGAAAATAGTTTGTACAGCACGTACCAGTGACTCGCTGAAAGGATCAGTTTGTTGTTGGAATATTCCGTGTTTATTTTCTTTCTTTTTGTTTTTGTTGTTTATAATCGTTCATTATGTTTTATTGTTCAGTTTTAAGTTGTACTGTTTTATTTTATTTTATATATATATATATATTTTTTCAATAAAGAATATTTTAAAAATATATTTTTTATTTCGTATATTTCATGTTTATTTATTTATTTACATTTATTATTTTATTTACTCTCCTCCTGAATCATCGCTGAATCTTCATCTTTAACCGTGAACAGATACAGGCGCGTGCAAAAGTTTGTACACCCCTTTCAAATCACATGTATTTGTCAGTTTTCTGGTAAAGTTAGCGAACACATCCTCTACAGAGACACACTGCTGCACATTTGAATACACAAACACGGTTTATTTACTGGATTTAACATGTTAGAAAAAAATTAAAATATAATATGTGCCGTTACTTTTGAACAAGCCACGTTTTATGTTCTTCCTTTTCA